TTATTCAGCTGTATGCTGAGCAAATCATCAGAAAAGTTGGCTTATATGAAGAAAAATGTGGGATCAGGATTGGAGGAAGGCTTATTAACAACCTGCAATATGAAGATGACACAACTGTGCTTGCTGAAAGTGAGGCGGACTTGAAGCACTTGCTGATGAAGATCAAGGATTGTAGCTTTCAGTCCAGACTACAATGTAAGGAAGACCAAAATCCTCACAAATGGACCAATCGGTGATACCATGATACATGGAGAGAACTTTGCAGTGGTTAAGAATCTTGGCTTCCTTGTATCCACAATCAATGCTCATGGAAGCAGCAGTTAAGAGATCAAAAGATATGCTGCATTGAGTGAATCTGGTGCACACGGCCCCTTCAGAGTATTGAAGAGCAAGGATGTTCCTTTGAGCACCAACATGTGTCTGAACCAAGCCATGGTAATATCTATTGCACCATATGCATGTGAAAGGTGGACACTGAATAAAGAAGACTGCAGAGGAATCGGTGCACTTGAAATGTGGTGCTGGAGAAGAATATTGAAACTATTCTAGGACTGCTAAAAGGACAAACCGATCTGTATTGGAAGAAGTAGGGCCAGAGTGCTCCCTAGAGGTATGGATGAAGAGACTTTGTCTTACAGACGTTGGACATTGTCAGGAGAGACCAGTCCCTGGAGAAGGACCTCATGCTTAGTAAAGTAGAAGGGCAATGACAGAGAGGAAGGGCCTCACGGACATGGTGGGACACCACGGCTGACCCAATGAGCTCAAGCATAGGAACTATAGTGAAGACGGGCAGTGTTTCATTCTGCTGTACCGAAGGGCACTGTGCTGGGAACCCCCTCACCTCTTCAATGGCACCTAAAAACAATCTTTCCAAAAAAGATTGCTAAAATTACATTGCTTATATTCTTAAGTTAAATCCAATAGTTGATAATCAGAGAGTTTTGATAATTTTGCATTAACACTTAAAATATAGATTTTATGGTTATATTCAAATATATTCTATGATTATAAATAGATTATATATATTGTATCATGACTCTCTATTACTGAGAATACTTTAACTAATAAAAAATAGTTTATGATACTTAAAAACTGCCAGGAAAAATAATAGCCATGTTATAAATTATCTCAATTGATTTTCTCAATAATCTTATGAGGTAGAATTGATGACTGTCCGTTACGCTACTGACAAAAACTAAAGCGTGTTGAGGTTTAGAAGTGAGTGGCAAGATGTCCACAAGGTC